TGTATAGCACGTCGAGGTCTCCCGATTGTGCATGCGTCGTGGTGTAGAAACGTGGTTGAAATGACAGGTAGCGGCTCTTAGCGTTGATGCCGCAATCATAGTCTGCCAATAAATCCAACCCAAGAACTGGGCAAGCCCATTGATACAACAGCAAGCCTGCGTTTTGGCTCGTCTCGCGCATCTCTTGTTCGCCCTTGGGTCAAATGGTGGTAAATAACTGCTGTATCGGGGTCAGAGCTCTGGGCGGAAGAGCAGGCGGACTGGTTGTGTTAGGAAGGCGTGACAGTGCGTCCGCATTACCATGTTTGTGCCCCGGGCGGATCTGGCACTCGAAATCGAAATCCCACAAAAACTCCTGCCAACGGGCTAGCTGGTCGATAGGGTCCTTGATGGAGCGCAGCCACTGTAGGGCAAGATAGTCTGTACGGAGTATGAACCGTCGGCCGACAAGGAGGTGTTTAAACTGGCGAATGAACATAATGATCGCCAACAGTTTGCGCCTGTAGGTTCAGTAGTTACGCTGCGTTTTTGTCAGCGTGTTGCTGGCGAAACAGATAGGGTGTTCTATGCCGTCCTTACCGACTTGGGAGAAGACGGCCCCAATGGTGAATCCACTTGCATCAGTATCTAGGATGAACGGGGGAGCGTCGTCGTCAGCGTTTGGAAGGGCTAGGAGTGGTGCCGAGCATAATGCCGCACGGAGTTTGTTGAGTGCGGTGTCGCAGTCGGCGGACCATGTATAAGGGCGGCCTTTCTCGGTCAGCTTGTGGAGGGGTCAGCGATCTGGGCGAAATTCCGGATGAAAAGTCGGTAGTACGACGCGAGGCCTAGGAAACTTTGCAGCTCCGTTTGGTTCGTCGGGGTCGGCCACGTACGTATGTGTTTGATCCGGTCTGGTAGTGGGGAGATACGACCGGGGGAAATAAGGTGGCCAAGAAACTGAGCCTCAGAACGGAGGAAAAGGCATTTGGTGGGGTTGAGTGTAAGGCCAGCTTCCTGGAGCGCCTCCAAAAACCTCCCGTAAGTTTGAATTGTGCTGTCCTGTGGAACGCCCAAATACGATGATTAATCGAGATAGACGAGGTATTTAAATGGGATGAGATGGCGGAGTACACGGTACATTAACCGTTGGAAGGTGGCTGCTGCGTTGCATAGCCCGAAAGGGAGCGTTTGTAACTCAAATAAACCCTGGGGGACAGTGAAGGCCGTCTTGTGGCGGTCGTTGGGGTGGATTTCCACCTGCCAGTACCCCGACTTGAGATCAAGGGTTGAGAACCAGGCAGCCTGGCCTAGCGCATCTAGTGTATCGTCTAGCCGCGGCAACGGAAATGAATCTCTTACTGTTACTGCATTTAAGCGGCGGTAGTCAACACACAGGCGTAGGGAACCATCCTTCTTGGGAACTAGTGCAATGGGCGAAGCCCAAGGGGAGGAGGATGGTTGGATAATCTTGGCCCGTAACAGCTCGTCTAGAGGCTTGTCGACCTCGTCACGGTAACGAACAGGTATACGTCGAGGGGTTTGCCAGAGGAGTTTGGCGTCGCCCGTGTCGATGGTGTGTTGTACCAGTCGTGTACGGCCGAGCGTGTCTGTGGACCAGGAGAACAGGTCGGGAAACGAAGCGAGTAGGTCGCTTTTTTGCTTATGGGCGACGGGGCCGACTGTTGAAAGGGTAGGTAGGACATCGCTCAAACGGGTAGGCTCTAGGGCTGCAGCTGAGAGGACGGCGTTATATGCGAGGTCGAGATCGTCTGACGGGCTTGGTGTTACAGTCGGGGAGGTGGGGTAGCCTATCACTAGGCGTCTTTGCCGGGTATAAATAGTGCAATCGTTATCTGTGAGGAAGTCAAGTCCTAGAACGATGGGCCAAGGACCAACAGGAGTCACTAGGAAATGATAAGTCAGTGTAGAGTCGTTGACGACGAACTGGAGGGTGATACTACCGGAAATAGGAATACTAGTCCCGTTAGTGGCTCGTAAATTGCGGATTTTCGGTGGCGGTTCTATGAGTCCAAGGTGCTCTTGAGGTAAATTATGAACACCAGTGTCAACTAGAGCAGGTAACTTGTGGTTGTTGAGTAAAACATTAACCATAAACGTGTGGTTGCAAGATGGATCAGAAAAGGCAATAAAGTCATGGGGAGACGATTTACGGGGGACATTGTGGCCGCAGTGGCGGGCATCGGGGCCAAACGCCGCGCAGTATTCACAGCCTGGGTTATGGTGTGGGAATCGTACGGGCATGTGTACCTTCCGAGGGGGCGGGCGTGGCTCTGAGCGAGGAGCAACGGTACGGGGCACTGGATGGGGTCTGCGGTCTTGGTGGTAAGCCGTATATAACCGGCATTGTTGTATGGCGGCAGTCAAGCTGGTAGGGGGATGAAGGAGAAGGATGTCGATAGCGTTAGGATCGCTAAGACCGGTTATAAAACGATGCAGTATAAGGGTGTTGCGGTCGGGTGGGGGGATGTTGGGGAACGCCGATAGGGCGAGGTGGGACAACTGGTTGGCGAAGTCATCGACAGACTGGTCGCGTGTCTGTCTTAGAGTGGCGAATCGGTCAGCAGCCATTCCTGTAGGGGACGGCGTGTGAAAGAGCTGCAAAACAGTACTACGCGCTACGTTGAACGGAGTTGTGTGGTCGATTCCCGCGTCGAAGGCACGCTTACGGGCGGGGGCGGACAGGAAACGTATCAGGTAGCACGTGCGTTGATTAATGGGGACCGTGACTAAAAAAAGATCCAGGTCTCGGAGCCAATCGTGAATGTTGCTCTCTGGAACGTACGGCTCAGGGGCTAGAAGTGGGCTAGGGCCTAGGTTATACGCGTACTCGACCGTGGGGTTGGGGAGTGGTGCGTGAGTAACTGGGAAATCGGAGGGGCGAGTGGGGTACCCGCTGCCACCATTGTAGCGACCGAGCGAGTAGCGGGCGTCAGGCCACGGGCAGTGAAGGAAGGGGATGAGGGAAGCTGAGCGAGAGAGAGAGACGCTGGTTCACGGGTTATACAGGAAGGGACTGACAGTAGCTTAAACTCAGACGGTCCTGCTGATTGGAAAATCCGGTCTGAAAGTCCTTGCATCTCGGACTGGGCGGGATCAGGAGGAACAGGCGTGGGGAGCTTGGGATGGACAGCACAGGTAGTAAACTGATATGAGTTTATTATCGGCATGGAAGGACGGAAGACTAAACTACGTAAAGTACGGAAAAACGAAAAAGGACAATGGGACGACTTATCAGGAAAGACCGCGGGTTATTTGTGCGCACGTGACCTAGGAGGCGCGGTTCCTGTAAAAGAAGCCGAAGGAGTATGCCTGTAGCGTGACAGTTCATTAAAACACTCAAGGTCGGGCCCCTGGTCAGTTCTCCGGCTGTTACGTAGTCCCCCCTGTGAGGTGGAGCACTGTCCTCAGTGCTGAGATCGACGAGGGGTGAGGGGACGGGAGGGGCCTGATCGGTAGCGAGGATTGGTGAGGATTCGGGGGAACAAGTTGGTAGGCGATCTCTGTAAGGTTTAAGTTTATTGCAGTGTGCGGTGACAGGGCGAGCGGTAGCCGCGGGGTAATGGAATTGTGACACTACATCGAACCAGATGGAGGTTACAGTGGGGGCAGCCGATGAACGCAACTGACTAGTGCCCCTCACCCTCACGGACCCAGTGCTCCGCTAACCTCCGAACTGTACGAACTCGGACAGAACATTAGGGAGTGGATGCAAGACTTATCCCTTCTACTAGTGAGCGTCCTTCCTCATGAACACACCTGCTACCTTTTACGGTTCCTCTCCCTCCCGCCCGCTGAAAAACATTTGGCGCCGGCATAACCTCCACATCAGACACTCTTCCTCCTTTCGGCCGCTAATGATGGTCAGACGTTTTATTTATAATCCATCCAAATGATGTGTGCAAATATATGTACATACCGCCTCCCGAACAAAGCCAGCATTCGTTTCAAGCCGACTAACGAAGGTATCATAGGTCTCGATGATACACAGAGACAAACTGGGCGATGGCGGCATTTCTTCAGTTGGTCAGCGTGTTTCTTGAGTAGCCTTTAAAGTTTCGGCCAAGGCCGGTTTTGGCTGCTCCTCATCTGCTCGAATTTCAACAGTTTCTTTCGCCGCGTAGTCTACTTTATTTGAATTTGTATATCATTAGGAGTGTGAACAGTCCTACTGGACAGATTGCACATCCTCTTGTACGTGTGTCAGACGCTTGTCGACGGCAGGTTAGCTTGGTTTCCGAGGCAGCCTTAAGTATACATTCAAACAACCCTGTTTACTGATAATGCCTTGGTGGTGTTGGCTGACTTAGTTCACTCCACAAGTTGTATTTTCTGTGTTGTCGCGTGGTCCAATGCTTACCTTTTTTACAACGATTCGGTAACAATCGGGAGATGGCACTCAAAAAAAATCCGTTACCTAGAAATAATACCTTTAACAGCGGACTCAAACGCCTTCAGGCTATATCAGTGGCTGCATGCCTACTTTCACTCACTACTTGGACTTTCCGCGACGGCCTAACATGGGCTGGCCGAACGAACATGGCAGGGGGTTACATGGACGATGGTCGCTGTTATCCAACCTTCCCCATCGTTACACACGTACACCTGAATAGACGGCATACATTCGAATTATGGCAGTTTATTACATAGCAAAATCACTTTTAAAGTCAGCACAACATGAGACAGGAACAGTTCCCAGGCATCTGTCAAAGATATGGCATTGAGGCCAAACCAAAGACGATACTGTACTTCGTCTATGTGAGCCCGCACAGCTCGACCACATACAGGGCCTCCCTCGTGGAGTTTCCTTTTCAGTCTTCTCCGGTATGCTTCAATGACATTGGTGTGCCGTCCGGTGGTAGGGTCTTTGAAGTTCTTTGAGTGATTGACAGAGAAATATAGATAACCTTCTGAGGGGAGACGATTATACGACTTCCACTCGTCCGTTACCACTATACTGCCTTTGGCGATCCATTTTGTAATAAGGGAGCGGAGAGGGGGCCGACTTCGATCATTCACCTGTTCAAATAAGGCTTTCTGTCGGCTAGTATTGTACATATCGACCAGCCACCACCCATAAGACCCCTATTACCACCTGTCCCGTAAGACAGGCTGCTTTGGTTAGGCGGATTTTTTTGGGTGCCATCTCCCGATGGTTACCAACGATTCTTACTGGAGTATGTGTGACGGCGTCGGCTAGCCATTTAATTTTCCTTCTTGTATGGGTCGTTGCGTGGGTACTTTGCCGTCGCCATCGGAGTCAGAGGTCAGCTGGCGGTATTGCCTACAAAGATACGTTAATGACAAGCAAACATGCCTCGGCCTAATTCCGTAGGTTACGAGCTGTAAAGATCGTCAGTAACCTTAGGCTTTCTGACAAGGGTTTTGTAGGTCTATGATTAATCCAATAAAATCTCGTAGAAACTACGGAGTAAGAGGCTCCAGTGTCCAGCAAGGACGGCGCGCTGTGGGCGTTAAGCGTTCCAGGGGTAGTAAAAGGTGGGCATGCGTTTCGAGATAGCACGACCAAGGACGGGAGACCTGCAGTCGTAAAAACAAACCTACTAGGAAGCAACCGACGGCGAATTGGGCGGGGGTTGTTTCCGCAACGCTGGGCGCGCCTGTCGAGTCGGCGACAATAAGGACAGCTGGCAGGGGTGGTCTGGCGGCCACGGCACGTGAGAGGCTGTAAGTCGAGAGCTTGGCGGAGCGGGTTCCGACACCGAAAAGATCTGGGTGGAAGCAAATTGCCTTTGAGTCACATCTGGCCGCGGCCCCTTGCTAGCTCGCGAACCGTACGTCCCAGAGCGCAACATACGTGATTGGCTTCGCGATTTGGATCTCTTTCTGGTTACCGTCCCCACTAACCAACGCACTTGCTATTTGATATGATTCCTTTCAACCCCCCCCCCCCGCGCGTAAACGTGTTTTCGACGCCGGAATCGACCACACGACACAGTTCGACGTAGCAGGTAGAGCCGTTTTATGGCTGTTTGACACGCCGTCCTCCACAGGAATTGCCGCCGAACGATTCGCCGCTTTCAGACAGGCACATGATCGATCGGTGGATGAATTCGCGAACGAGCTGTTCCGCCGCGCCCTATTGGCATTTCCCAACTTTGCCCCACCCGACCGCGACACCCTCATCCTGCATCGTTTTATAACCGGATTCGGCTACTCTAACGCTACCGACATCCTCCCTCTCCACCCTCCTTCCAGTTTAACCGCCGCGATACAGCAATGCCGACTGTATACTGCTTACCACAAAGAGCATAGACCGACGCCAGCGCCCACTACAGCTTCTCTCCGTCCAGAATCACGACCGCTCAACCGGAAGGCACACCTACCCGTGCGATTTCCCCACCATAACCCTGGCTGTGAATACTGCGCGGAATTTGGCCCCGAGGCTCGCCACTGTGGCCACAATCTCTCTCGTAAGTCGGCTCCTAGTGACGTTATTTCTGTTTGTGATCTATCCTGCACCCCCTCTTTTACGATTAATATTTTACTCAACAACCAGCCATTACCAGCCTTAGTAGACACCGGCGCCAACCTTTCCCTTATCAACGTTCGCAATTTTCCACGTGGCCGGGCTTGACTTCCTCACCGACCAAGACTGTACTATTTATATCTGGCGTGAACGCCTACCTTTAGGTTCCGTATTGGCTACATGGTCTGAGTGGCTGCCTAGACGGTTCCGTATTGGTTACTTGATCTGATTGGCTGTCTGATGCTATTGGTTTTACAGTCATACCTAATGGCCTGTCAGAGGAGAGGGAGCTCATTGTGGCTGAGTGGCAGTTATACTTGAAGAGTGATGCTATTATTTCAGTGCGGAGATCGATGTCTACTTCCATTTTCGAAACTCTGGTGGTGAGTCCTCGGCATCCATCACAGCGTGTCAACATTTCAGCATTTAATTTACTTGTGGTCGATTTCAGTAGTGCACTGCGTTCTTCATCATTGATGGTCGGTGGCTCATCACGCCCAGCTCAAAGCGAGTTAAGTATTTCCGGTAAATTTTTATCACAGACAATAGAAAGTGGCTTACGAATGAGTGATAGATCGCCTTTTTCTGAGTGTATATATGTATATATTATTTTCTTGGACACCCGGGCTGGCCAAGTGGTTAGGAGTGTCGGTTCTTGTTCGAGGGATCCCTGGCTCGAATCCCTGATGCGGTTAGTTATGTCACAGTAGGATCGTGAACACTTGCATTCCCATACTAGCAAGATTTCTTCGAGATTGCATTAAGTTATAGCGTGCGGCCTAAATTGGTTAGTGACTAGTTTACTGAGGACAAAGCGAAGCTAGTTTTCAAACAAAATTCAGTGTCAAATGTCAATTGAAAGCAGAGAAGGACTTAGCCTTCGCAGACAGCTTGTCAGTAGTCCTCGCTTTCTGCTGGTTTCCTACTACTTCGTTGACGGAAGATTGTCTGCACTAGCATGATGAAGTCAGTATTCGTAGGATACTTTGTTAAGCTCCAGATAGCGGTTTCCTAAAAGCCCCAGTGAAGGATGAAGATATCGCTGATAATGTGATCCGCGGAAACGAAGGTTATTTGCACTTCGAAGCTGATTTCTCAGCTTATTTCGATTAGGCGTAACTCTGGACAGAAACGAGTGACTGAAATGTCGAAACTCGGGAAGACAAGCAAAATCCAGTCACAATTTAATCCCACTTGATTGGTACGGACACTTATGATCCGCCAACTGGATCCAGATCTGCGTCCCAGCTTCTGCTAGGGTGAATAAGTCCCTGTGAGCACCGGCTCCACCAGGCACCCTCTAGTCTTGCAGGCCTCGGGGCAACAAACGAAGTCTTTGGACAAATCTTCCGACTCAATCGCAATATAGGGGAATAAAAAGAAAACAGAAGGAGATGAAACTCGCCCTCGCATTTCCCTAAGTTTGACAAATTCTGATCATACAGAGTCCGCCTGCACCGAACGTACGCAAACACGGCTTTAGAGCTGTGGAGGGGCTGGAGTAGAGGTACGAGGGGGCTATGTCCGATAAAATCCTCGTTGTTGCCTCCTCGTGTCCCCTCATCGAAAAAAATGCGCAGGGAGACGCCGGATTTTTGTTGTTTTTGCCCCCTCCCCCTTTCCAATACCGATTTTCCCAGCATTCCTTGCCATTTCAGACCTTTATGCGTCACTGCGAAGCCCCGAACGAAGCAAATTGTCAGAACACTCGAACGCCACTTAATGGTTGTAGAGAATTTATTCAACGAAAAAGCCATGCTTCGTCACGGTGCATATTGAGCATGGCTGTCCTTACCGGTAGTAGGTTCCTACAATAAAAGAAAGCAGTTGGTAAGATATCGGTGCTAAGAAATGAATGCCGAGCATCAAATCCCATGTTAATTTGGGCGTCACGATGAAGGTGTGGCTGTACGTGCTCTGTGGGAGGGTTACGTCAAGTGATACGGTTCCAGTATGATTCTTTCGAGAGCCATCCGCTGCCGTCAGCCGTGTGAACGGACATGTCGGTCTCCTGTTGGCGTATAGCTGTTGTGGTACGATTCTTGAGTTAACTAGAGAGACTATGGCTGCTGTATCTATAAGCGCATCAAACTCTTGATTGTTAACGGAGCTGCCTTATAATGGAGATCATTGCATGAGATAATGGAAAGCGTACCTGGTGCTGCAGGTGCAGGTGCACGCCTGATTGCGGAACGGCGGACATCTCCCGAGTCTGCGGAAGGGTCTACCTCGTTGGTTATACTGGTTGTAGTTGGGGCCTGTGAAGCTTGGTCTAAGGGGGTTGTTGTAGCCGAGGGACACTCACCCTTAGTAGATCCGGATGGCTGCACGGTTGCTGTTGCCGTTGGACCGGGGGTCGCCCCTAAAAATGGTCCGTCGTCCGTGACCGAGTTGGGGTCTTCCGGTATGAAGCTCATAATCCCAGTAGTGGAATTCACACAAACAGGACACGGCCAGAAGTCGTTGGTTAAATGAGAAGATATATTCCACGTTCGAGAAAAGAAGTGGGGGAGGGAAGAGCGGCAAAGACAACGATGCGTATGAAATGGAATAAAAAAAAGGGGAAAAGGTCACTTAGGTCGAGGAGGCGGTTCGGAGAGGTTCAGTTCCGTTCTTCGGGTGGCAAGATGTTGACGGAGGTACCCTTCTCAGCGTCCTCGTCTGCAAATGAAAAGGAGATGATTCAGCACGTTGTTGCCTTTCAATTTCCCCGCCTTCCTATTAAAAAGCCCGCTACTACATACTCCCCTCCTCAGGTGGAGCCCTGTCCGCAGGGCTTCTGGATGTTGTTGGCTCGATGGTTTCCTCCCTAGACGGTGGGGGTACTGGGTGCGCTGGGAGTATGGGTAGCGTAGCGTCGTTGGCTGTCGGTAATCGTCCTCGGAACGGTTTCTATTTATCGAAGTGCGTTGTAAATGTAGGTCCATCTGGAGTCACTGCGTCCCTTAGTACGTATGTAGTGGGATGGTGTACATCGACCACTACGTATGGTCCTTCCCAGGGGTGGAAGAATTTTGCAGATGTTCCCCATGGTGGCACCGGCCGGTAGCGCCACACGAGATCGCGGCGAGACAAATGCGAGTAGCCTGGGATTATGAGTCAATATTGTTGACGTACTTTTATTCTTTCAGTAGGCGTGCTTTTATTAGGTTACATACTTACAACTGCCGATTGGGTTAAGGAAGGGCGGTTATGCTGTAAAGTCCTTCGTGCTCTTTCCCCAACTATGCTTGGTTTACTTGGCGTACAGGCTCCGTCAGGATGACTTTCTCCTTCCTGTTAACCGCCCCGAGAACGAGACGCTGTAAGACTGCCTATATAGGCTCATTGCATTGCACCCCCCTCCCACACGGAAATCTTCAGTAAAAGGCGAAATACTTAACCTTTGCGGATAACGATTCAACACGCTTTACAATATGCCTTTTACCTGCAAGTTGCTTCATTGGTGGTAACAGTAGGCGTGCTTTTTATTAGGTTACATACTTACAACTGCCGATTGGGTGAAGGAAGGGCGGTTATGCTGTAAAGTCCTTCGTGCTCTTGCTCCAACTATGTTTGGTTTACTTGGCGTACAGGCTCCGTCAGGATGACTTTCTCCTTCGCGTTAACCGCCCCGAGAACGAGACGCTGTAAGACTGCCTATATAGGCTCATTGCATTGCACCCCCCTCCCACACGGAAATCTTCAGTAAAAGGCGAAATACTTAACCTTTGCGGATAACGATTCAACACGCTTTACAATATGCCTTTTACCTGCAAGTTGCTTCATTGGTGGTAACAGGCTGCTGCCCTCACTCCCCCTAACACCTATCGCCTTTACGAAACAGCCGCGTTGTGTCTGACCGATAGGGGTGGTGTTCCACATCGCGTTCCATGCGTCTACCGGGCGAGTTAGCAAGGCGCGTAGGTGTTGGGTGCGCTTAATCGATGCAGGTTTGCCCTTCGTGGCTTAGCCGTTCAGACGTTAAACGCGGCCGCTGACTTCGTGTGCGGTCTTCTAAGGCCGCTTGCCGTTTGCTTAGTTTGCTTTCGGTTTGGTTCATTTCTCCACCTTACCTGCCACCAAAGCCGGGTTAGGAACGCCTACCCAACAATAGGGGTTTAGCCTTGCCTTGCACTATCACGGGTTCAGGTGTACGCCCGGGCGTCGGGATCTCTGTGTGGTCTCCTTCGGTCGCTTTCTTCTTGCGCTACGGCCGATTCCGTTCGCCTGGCGGTTGGGCGGTTTGGTCGCCTTGTGGGGAGAGGTAGGTTTGCCCTATGCGCTTTCCGCTCATTTTTTTATCGGTTTGACGATTAGCGTACTTACGACGTAGCCTTCGGATTGGTCAAGACAGGAAGGTTGCCTTCACATAGGCTTCCATCACTCCCCTCAAACATTACGCATTCAATATCCGTTGGGGCATTTTTGGCTTAGGTTATGGGATTACATGCGACCAAAAGTTGAGAGTTATAGTTAGGAATTCACTATTATTAAGCACAGTATAAAAGATTTGCAAACTTTTCCCGCAGCATCCGTTCTCACTGGCCAATATGTACATTGTCCGGCCGTTCAGTTGTTTGGACTGCCTTCTTTTCTACCGGCCGCCAATATTCACCTATGCGTACAACATCGATAACATATCACTGCTTACCGTTACGATCACCTGCAAATTATCTCCGTTTCCGATTGCAGTCCAGAGACTGGATAGGCCTGAGCAACATGCGACAGGAATCTTTCCCAGGACTCCGCCAAATTACTTGCTTTCAGGCCGTACCACAGTCGGTATTGTGCTTCATCCAAGTAGGCCCGTATCCTTCGGCCTTTCGTTGGTCCGCGTTCCCGTAACTTCTTTTTAAGCCTACTCCAATAGGCCTCAATTGCGTTGGTGTTTTTTCCTGAGATGGGGTCCACAAAATTTTCCGAATGATTAACAGTTTCGTGCCGGTATCCTTCTTCACTTAGCCTTGCATATGCCTTCCATTGGTCCGTCACTATTATGCTTCCCGGAGCAATCCATTTCTTTATGACGGCCTTTAGGGAGGACGAGCTGCGAATATGGCTCAAATATGGCTTTCCGTTTACTTGTATCATACATGCCTGCGATTGGTCGTCCAATTGTAGACCCTTACCCAAAATCCAGTGCTCATTGCTTACCCGTCCAACATTATACTTACGGCGCGTTATTAACGTTTCGTCTTCTTGAACCTCAACTTCTGGCCCTCCCAATTGTTTAGCTTCCTTGAGGAGGGCTTTAGTGCAGACATCCCGCCAGATGTCATACCATTGGACTGCCGCCGTTAAACCTATGCCTACGACAGCAGCGCATCTCACAACGCCGGTTCCTTCCAAAAATGCAACAGCCGTTCTCATTGCCTTCGTTAATGTTAGGCGGCTATCCTTAAACACGGAACCCGTTCTCAATGCCTTTTTGGTGCCACATTTGTTACACCTAGCCCATGCATTATATTATTATTTTGGTTTACCTGAAGGCAAATCCGTCTGTGTGCTGCCGCAATATCCGCAATGTCATTGGTTTACGACAGCGACACTTAACTTGCGTCGCAAGGAGTCCTTTCGCTTGCAAATATTGCACTAAATACGGGGACTGGATAATATCAAGGATCTGTCCAATCTCCGATTAATTATTAGCTTGCGGAACGGCCTTCCGCTTCTTCTTTGCTATCAGCGTTCTATAAGTGGGAACCGTTTGGTAATTATTGAACATATTATTAATTACAGCTTCATTCTTCTACGTCCTGCGTATTTTTTATTCATACTTACCGTTGTTCGGGTTCCTCTTCTACCGCCCTGCTTGTCGACGGCACTTCACGAGGATTCACCATCAGTGCCAGTATTGTCTGGGGTACCTACAGCGGAATGGCCTTGGCGTTGGGTATCTCGTTCCTATTGGTTAGGGTTTACTTTTTAAATTTCCGCCACCTTTTTCACCTCAAAAAAATTTTCTTATTAACTGTCTAAACCTATTTTTTTATTTTTTTTTACCTTGTCCATGGGTTATCCGTTTGCCCCACCCTTAAAACCCCCTTTTCCCACCCATCCCGTATTACAGGGACCCTCCTATGGGTTGCAGCATCCAGGCTGCACACAATTGTCCTACCGAGATCGCCTAATTGGTACGGAGTCCCATGTACCTGTCTATCAAAATAGCTCTTCTGTCGTTCCGCGGCTGCTCCCAGACGTTCTCGTGCTAGATTGTGGGTGCTACGCAGCAACTCCTGTAGTTTCCACACGTATTCGTCTGGTGTATGACTGCTGGGGATTGGTAAAGGAGAGCGTGAGTCAACTGGGAGGCGCAAATAACGTCCTGTTAACATGAAGAAAGGAGCGTAGCCTGTAGAGGGGTGTACCGCGGTACGGTATGCCATCATGACACACGGCAGCTTTTTGCCCCAGTCGTGTGGGTGGTCCTGTTCGGCGAAAGCCCGTAATAGCTGAATCAAGGTCCTGTTAGTCCTTTCAACCTGACCGTTTCCTTCAGGATGGGCAGGTGTTGTGCGGGTTTTATATACATCAAGTAAGTTACACACGTCTTGGAGTAATTTGCTATCGAAGTTAGCTCCGCAGTCCGAGTGGATAGACCACGGTGCTCCGAAACGGCATACCCATTCGTTGAAGATCGCCGTTGTCACTGATGCGGCATCTTGTCGTAACAGTGGTACCGCTTCCGCCCATTTAGTAAAATAATCGACCATCACTAGTATAAATCTGTTGCCGGACGTGGTAAATGGCAGCGGGCCTACTATGTCGAGTCCAAGTCGTTGGAAAGGAAAGCTCGTGCGCATTGGTTGGAGGGGGGCACGGCTTTGTTGTTGCGGTGATTTGAAAGAAGCGCAAGTAGTGCATGTATTGCAAAAGTTGGCCACCTGTTCTCGTAGGTGCGGCCACCAAAACCGCTGTCGTGCTGCTGCCTCAGTTTTATTCTGTCCTACATGCCCCAACTCGGTGTGGAGGTCGGAAAGTACGGTTCGAACGAGGCTTCCGGGCACCACTACTCGTATTGTATTTGTTGTGGCACCTCTAAGGCATAAGATATCATTATCTATGAACAGCTGAGGCCATTGATTATGAAGTACATAAGCTGATTCTGATGAGCCGCATAGCTCAGTGTCAGTAGGTCGGTGGCTCCCATGTAGTACGTGGTCATATATTACTGCCGTGTCTGGATCCGTGCTCTGTGCTATAGCCCAGTGGTATCGGGTTGGTTCACTGGCGTAAACGGCGTTAACTTCAGCTGGCCTCAAGTAGGGTTCTGCGGTATCTGAATGTATGGGGCGTCGCGAGAGGGCGTCTGCGTTGGCATGCTGCTTGCCGGGACGATATACACAGGTAAAGTTATACTCTTGTAAAATTTCTTGCCACCTGGCTAATTGTCCCTCTGCGTCCTTGGTATTTTGTAGCCACTGAAGGGCTTTAT